CCTGACAGGGAATTGAACCAGCAACCTTAAGGTGCACAGGACGATGCTCCAACCAACTGAGCCACTCTGGCTGGGCTGGATCTTCTTGATGCCCACTTTGACATAACTCCAGTTTTAGCAGGGTTGCCTTTTAGCAATTTCTGTTGGCTACTCTGGCTCCCAGCACGCCTGGAATTTGGCCCCCTCAGACACTGCTGACTCTCCAGGACCAGTGGCTGTTGCTGGTCCGTTGACATTTGCCTCCTCCAGCCCTAGCTCACTGAGCACATGTGCAGCATCCTCATCACCACCTGGCACAGCACTTGCATGTTAGCTTGTTGGTCTTCCTCCCCCAGACTGTGAGCTCCACGAGAACAGAAATCTCATTTGTTTTCTCCTCATGGTATCCCCAGCACCTAGCACAACATAGCAATGTTTAATGCATATTTGATGAACGAAAGCATAAATAAAAAGGTGGCATCCCCTTCCTGTAGAGGGAATTGATAACTCGCTTGATTTTGCTAATGCACATCCATCTCTGTTTATTTAAACTGAAAGAGCAAGTTCAGGATTCAGCCCTGGCAGGGTTTTGTCACTTCTGAAGAGACAGTCTCTTTACAAAAACCTGTGCTCATTACAAAAGAGTTAGCATCATGAAATTGGCCTTTTGTTTGCTTTATAATTGTATTCAATTGCTAACCATCCTGCCAATTAACCAAGTATTTAGTGGCTTTCAAATTTTAAAAAAGTTATATTTTAGAGTTGGGTTGGAGGGGCAGTGACACTTGATTGGAGATGACAAGATGGCTCTGGTCACTTAGTGCCTATAAATTTTTGAGTGAGTCACAAAGTATCTCGAAGCCTTAGTTTCCTCATCTGGAAATTGTGGTAGTTGACTCAGTAATCACTAAGTTCTTTCCCAGGTTTATTGCCTCTATTAACCTATAATTCTGTTTCACTAATGCAAGTCCAAAGCATGCCCTTTCTGTCTTGTATTTTGGCCAAGTCAGAACTTGAGGGTGAAAGCCTTTTGCACATCTTTCAACATCTTGCCACCAGGTGGCAGGCGCGTGCCACAGACCTTTTGTCCCAAGCACAAAGTGTGAGCATCTTACCAGAGATTGAATTAAGATAGTAGCTTTCTAAGCTGGAGGCCAGAGTCTTTGAGTTTTTGAAATAGCAAACACTTAGTCTTGTGCAAAACAACAGTTTCAGGGGTACCAGGGACCATATCTAGGAATGAATGTTCAGGCACTCCGATTTATGTGGTTCAGAATTTTGAGGGCACCAGAGCTCAGCTCTTGGGTGTCTTCCCCTCACTCTTTATCTCAGGATGAGTCAGTGGACGCCCATCACCCCAGCAGCACCTGCAGTACTCAGTGTCCCATGAAGAGAATCATGTGCTGAGCCACAGTTGATGGATTTTATCCTGTTCTTTTTGTTCTTTCCTGTCTCCTTCCAGGAAGGAGATAAGGGATGCATTCAGGCAAAGTTGGGACAACTCCCTAAGTTCTGTTTTAAACTATTTGCCTAATTACAATAAAATTTTCCTTAAATACAAACTCAGAAAAAGACATTCCATCTCTCCTGGTCCCCCTCCGTGATTAATTTTGTGTATCAACCGGACTGGGCCAAGGAGCACTTAGATATTTTTGGTCAAACATTATTCTGGGTGTTTCTGTGAGATTGTTTTTGGGTGAGATTAACATTTAAATCTGAGTAAAGCAAATTGCCCTCCCTAATGTGGTGGGCCTCGTCCAATCCATTGAAGCCTTGAATAGAACAAAAAAGGCTTATCCTTTCCCGAATAAGAGAGAATGCTTTTTGCCTAACTGCCTTTAACTGGGACGTTGGCTTTCTTCCTGCCTTTGGACTTGAACTGAAACATTGGCTCTTCCTGGGTCTCGAGCCTGCCAGACTTTAGACTGGATCTGCACCACAGACTCCTGCGTCTGCAGCTTGGAAACTCATCCCACAGACCTTGGGACTTGTCAGCCTTCATCTTCATGTCAGCCAAGTCCTTATACTAAATCTCTTTATATACAGGGCATCCCAAAAATGTATACATACTTTCACAGCTGATAGCTCAATTTTGAAAATGAAATGTATGTTAATAAACACTGCCTTTATAATTATTCAAAATGTATATATACTTTTTGGGGGATACCCTATATAAATATAAACACATATATATGTATGTGTGTATCTATATATCTCCTGTTGGTTCTGTTCTCCAGAGAACTCTGACAAATGCACCTCCTAATTGGATATTCGTCACTTGGTTGTGCACATACATACACTGAGCACCTACTTTGTGCCAGGCCCTGTACTAGGCTTCGAGAATAGGGAAATGAACAAACTGAATGTTCCCTGTCTCAGGGAGCTTCCAATCTACTGAGGGGGATAAACAATCAAATACTCACACAAGTATAAAAACAAAGCTACAGCAAGTGCCACTGAGGCTGGAGTGGCTGTTGGGAGTCCAGGAGGAGTAAGGAGGAGAGACTCAAGTTGCATTATAGCCAGGAGCCACACATTTAAATTTAAGTTAGTTAAATACAAATGTTAAAACTTCAGTCCAGTGGCTAGCTGTATTTCACCTGCACAGTTTCCACATGTGGTTAGTGGCCCCCCCAGTTCCCTCTACAGTGGGGGAACTCTTGATAATCCTTTTGACTTTATTGACAGCTGGAACTGGCCTGTGTGAATTTTAGGTCAGCATCCTGAGGTAGGAATAGAATTGGCCTAACGCGTCTTCTTTAAGCAAGGCCACACCAAGGCATGGGCTCCTAATCTGTAGGAGAGCCCATTGGAGGTTGGGGTCCACCCTTATGTGTGCCACTTGGTACAGAGCCTGACTATGCCTGTTCAACAGGGACCTGCAGTAGAAGGTGTGAGTGAGCCAGGTACCCTGGTACACAACTTGTCCAACATCTACTTCTTTGACTTTGTTCCTAATTTCTCCCCAGTTCTCCTCCCACCCCCTGTCATCAGTAGCCCTGGAATTGATTCAGCCTCCTTTATTTTCTTATCTGTAATCAACTCTTTACTTCCCTTCATCACCTAGTACAGTGCCTAGCACATAGCATGTATTCAACAAATATTTGTTGTTTCAATGTCCACCAGCCAAAGACCTTCAGGAACATACCTTTAGTTAAATAAATGTAGGTTTATTTAGCTTGCTCCAATGAGGGAGAATACATGGTGTCTTGGTAAGAGAGTATCAGAGGGGTTTATTAAAAAATTTGGGCTTTGACAAGGTGATTGTAAGGAAGGGCTAGAGAAATAGGAACTAGTATTGTATTAGATACTCTCAGGGAGTAGGAGTAATTCAGCAGTTTGGTATCTCAGAAATCCTGTTCAGGAATTAGAACAAAATGAGGCTGAAGATGTCTTTGGCAAGAAAGCAACAATCACTCAGAAATAATCTGTGGGGGGGGGGGGGGGGACGCGGATTACAGTATGGCTTTGCCTTTGTTTGGTTATAAACTCTATCACACTCTGACAACAGGGTTGATTTCCACTTTTTCAGTTAAATTTGAAAAAATAGCTGAATAAATATTTAACTTTACTCAAATGTAGAAGCAATTGCAATGGTTTTTAAACCTGCCAAAGTGACCTTTCACCTTATCTATCTTTTGGGTAATTGCTTTTTACTGACTTGGAACAAAATTGGCCCTTAGTTTAATGATATTACATAGATTCATCTGATACTCGATCTACCATTTTGGAAATAGTGATATCTGTTTTTCAAAATTGGTATTATAATTTTGATTGCCCATTCAAGGATACTCTGGAGTTGGTCATTATTCCTCTTCAAATGTGGTCCCGATATCATCTACATGGAACTCAGAACAATGAGTCAATTACTTCCTGAGTTTGCAACACCACTTTCCTGTGACTCGTCTTTTCCTCCAGGAGTCACCTTACCCCATTGTTCACATGAGCTGTTTTTAAGCAAGTGTACCCCTGGCCTGGCATGCATGCAATTGATTTTTAGAATCTGAATAAAAAACTCATTTATCCTTCCAACACCTTACTCATTTTTACCCAATATTCTAGAAGGTTGGAAAAAAATACCTATCGTATTTGTCATCGCTCTGACTTTTTGTCATTTGCAACTTGGTTAGCATCTCTTCTCTGCACTTCACTCATAACATTGACCAAAAATTGAACAGGATACCTGGAAGAACAGAATTCTTCCAGCCTCAGCTAGTCATCAACAACACTCTTTGATATGGTTGTTGGTCTCTTTTCAGTATGCTTAACCAGCCACATTTCTCAGAATGTGCATGAGTAGAAGAGCTTTTGGCAACTGTGCATTTGGGAAAGTTACTGCAGCACAGGGAGGCTCTCAGCGGGTCGGGTGTTGGGAGGAGAGGAGTGGGAGCAGGGAGACCAGTGGGGTTAGAAAGAAGTATCCAAACTTGAGGTCATCAGTTCTTAAACTAGGGTGGGGTGCCTTTGGAAATGGACAGGGAGGTGTTGTTGCTACAAACATTATGAAAGGAAAAGTCAGCACGTCTCTATAACAAATGAGTATGGGAAGAAATGGAGAAAAGAGGAATTTAGAGCCTGAGTGCTTGGATGGTGTTGTCATAACTGGAAATATAGAAGCCTTGGAGGGAAGCTGTTTGAGGCGACAGTTAGATGGTGGAGGGAATTCTTGCTGCAATGTAAAGGGATTTTATGGTTCAGTTGATTGAAAGGTAGGTTAAAAATATTTTGAAATGCCAGAGGTTTATTTGTATTAACTGTTGACAATATAGAGGGAGAGGTCGAAGATGGAGAAGAGGTTGGGCGTGGCAGATGAATAAGGTCCACAATTGAGCACAGGCATGGGCATCAGAATTCAAATGGGCAGGAAGGGAGGTCTGTGGATGAGAGCACATTTTAGAGCTTCATCTCTAAGGGCCTTTGCAACTGCTGTTCCCTCTGCTCAGATGCCTTCTCCACATATTCTCATGGTTTTTCCTGTAGATCACAACATGATGGTCTTTTTTTTTTTTTTTTAATTTCAGGCCTCAGCTCAAAGGTCTCCTGCTCACAGAGTCTTTCCCTGACCAGTCACCTGTCACCCAGACCCGTTCCAATCCGGGACTAGCCCTGCCCCAGAATGGTCCAGGACCTCCAGGCTCCTGACTCTCACAGGAAAGAATTCAAGAATGAGTCATGGTGGGGGATACGGGCTGCAAAGAGCCTTCTGGCTCTAAGGGAACAGGAAGAACTAGAAGATTTGCCAAATGACTACCCCTCAAGCACCAGTGAAGATGAGGGGGACAGTGGTGGAGAGCGAAAGCATCAAAAGCTTCTGGAAGCAATCAGTTCCCTTGATGGAAAGAATAGGCAGAAATTGGCTGAGAGATCTGAGGCTAGTCTGAAGGTGTCAGAGTTCACGGTCAGTTCTAAAGGATCAGGAGAAAGGTTAGTCCTTTCAGTTCTGCTTGAACCTGTTAAAACTTCATCCTCATTGGCCACTGTGAAAAAGCAACTGAATAGAGTCAAATCAAAGAAGACTGTGGAGCTACCCCTTAACAAAGAAGAGGTTGAGCGGATCCACAGAGAAGTGGCATTCAATAAAACCTCACAGGCGCTCTCCAAATGGGATCCCATCGTTCAGAAGAACCGACAAGCAGAGCAGCTGGTTTTCCCCCTGGTAAAGGAGCAGTCAGCCTTCGCTCCCATGGAGCATGTGCTCAACGCCTGGAAGGCAAGAACACCCCTGGAGCAGGAGATTTTTAACCTCCTTTGTAAGAACAAGCAGCCAGTGACAGACCCTTTACTGACTCCTGTGGAAAAGGCCTCTCTCAAAGCCATGAGCCTGGAAGAGGCTAAGATGCGCCGAGCAGAGCTTCAGAGGGCCCGGGCCCTGCAGTCTTACTATGAGGCCAGGGCTCGAAGAGAGAAGAAAATCAAAAGCAAAAAGTATCACAGAGTTCTGAAGAAAGGAACGGCCAAGAAAGCCCTAAAAGAGTTTGAGAAGCTGCGGAAGACCAATCCTGCTGCTGCACTGGAAGAACTGGAAAAACTCGAAAAGGCCAGAATGATGGAGCGAATGAGCCTTAAGCACCAGAACAGTGGAAAATGGGCAAAGTCAAAGGCAATTATGGCCAAATATGACCTGGAGGCTCGCCAGGCTATGCAGGATCAGTTGGCCAGGAACAAAGAACTGACCCAGAAAGTCCAGGTGGCCTCCGAGAGTGAGGAAGAGGAGGGAGGTGAGGAAGAAGAGGGTGATCTCCTTGTCCCTGATGCAGTGAATGAGGCACACATGACTGCAGATGGACCGAACCCCTGGATGGTCAGGAATCACTCTGATGACGCAAAAGAGGCTGAAATCCAGAAGGACTCTGAACAACTTCCAGAGCCCATGGCCAACGAGGCTTCTGAGAGTGAGGAAGAAGAAAGACCAGTGGCAGAGGAAGAAATTTTGTTGAAAGAATTTAAGGAAAGTCAGTCACTTAGGAAAATGTCGGGGCTCAACCAGGACACCAAGCCAGTGGGCAGACAAGAAACAGAAGATTCTAGCACCCAGGAGGTGCTATCCAAACTGAGAGGACTGTCTCAGAAACTCAACAAGGACAACCATCAGTGCAGGAAGCAAAACATGGGTTCAGTGAGGACTGTTTTGTCCACCCAGAGAGAGGGACCTGCTGGGGAAGAAGAGGAGCCCCTGTTGCTACAGAGGCCGGGGAGAGCACAGACTCTGGAGGAGCTAAAGGAACTGAGCAAAGAAGGATGCTTTCAAAATGAGGATCTTCCCAGACCTGCGTTAGAAGGGCAGCAGGTGGAGAGGAATAATCAGCCTAGTGCTCCCAAGAAGAAAATGAAGGAGCAAATGATTGACCTACAGAACATCTTAACCACAAAATCTCCTTCCATGAAGTCTTCGGCTGTCCCCACGATAGAGGAGTTGGAAGATGAACAAGAGAGAAAGCAAAAGCAAATGATAAAGGAAGCTTTTGCTGGTGATGATGTCATCAGAGATTTCTTGAAAGAGAAGAGAGAAATAGTGGAGGCGAGTAAGCCAAAGGACGTGGACCTGACTCTGCCTGGCTGGGGCAAGTGGGGCGGTGTGGGCCTGAAGCCCAGTGCCAAGAAGAGACGCCGGTTTCTCATTAAGTCACCTGAAAGTCCTCCAAGAAAGGACAAGAATTTACCAAATGTGATTATCAATGAGAAGCGAAACATCCATGCAGCAGCTCACCAGGTGCGGGTGCTTCCATATCCATTTACCCACCATCAGCAATTTGAGAGGACCATCCAGACCCCTCTAGGATCTACATGGAACACCCAGAGAGCCTCCCAAAAGCTGACTACACCCAAGGTTGTCACCAAGCCAGGACATATCATTAAGCCTATAAAAGCAGAGGATGTGGGCTACCGGTCTTCCTCACGGCCGGACCTCTCTGTCATACAAAGGAATCCAAAACGACTCTCCATACATCACAAAAAACAGCTGAAGAAAAACTAAAGATAGAGTTGCTGGAGGAGTGACATCTTGGTGCCCAGAAGCAGGACCCTAGAGTGCTCCTCCATTGGCCGGGTTTTACTAGTACTACAAGCTACATGATCAATTTCAAAATTTGTTAGCACACATATTAGGAATAAAGGCATTTTTATCTATTAAAAAAAAAAGAATGAGTGAAAGCCAGTTTTGTTCAGGTAGAGAAAAAGAGTTAGGATGCGGGTTCCTGGAGACAGGATCAGGGGTTGAGCTGCCCACTGCCCCTTTGGTTGCAAGTCTCTCAGGGCGTCGCTGTGAAAGTAGCAAAAGTACATGTCCAAGTGGAATGGGTGAACTCGAGAGTGAGTTGTGTGCTGGGTCAGTCAGTTCTTGGGATAAAAAAAAAGAATGAGTCATGGTGAGAGTGAAAGCCAGTTTTGTTCAGGTAGAGAAAAAGGGTTAGGATGCGGGTTCCTGGAGACAGGATCAGGGGTTGAGCTGCCCACTGCCCCTTTGGTTGCAAGTCTCTCAGGGCGTCGCTGTGAAAGTAGCAAAAGTACATGTCCAAGTGGAATGGGTGAACTCGAGAGTGAGTTGTGTGCTGGGTCAGTCAGTTCTTGGGATTTTATGTGTTTCCAAGGGTGGGTTGTTTCTGAACTTTGTGGCTCTGAGTTCTGACTCGGCCTTCTGTGTGTGTGTGTGTGTGTGTGTGTGTGTGTGTGTGTGTGTGTCTTGTTCCTAATATGTTCGGTTCTAAAAGTGTCATGGTGTTCTTCCTCCTCTGCCCTCCTTCTACTTGTGGTGCCAGTTTTCATTATGATGATGGTATAATGAGCTTTGAGGCCAGTCTCTTACAAGTTTTTTCTCCATCTTGGATGGATCTGGGTTTAGCTAGTCCTTGTTGCTGTTGTTGACTTCTGTGACCCTGGAGGGGTTTCCTGTCTGACTGTTTCCCTATGATCATGCGTGGAGGTGGGGATCCTGGTGAGTGGACCTAGTGACTTACCATCCCCTGATGTCGGCTCCTACTTCCTCATTCCACTCTCGTCAGGTGTTTTCTCTAACTTCTTTCTATCCTGCCTCACACTTTAAAATAGTCCTCAACCCTCATCTGAAATTATCTTATTTGCTCATCTGTGGGGGTTTTTTGCTGTGACCTATATGAAAGCTGGGACCTTTGCATGTTTGTTCATGGTTGTACTCCCTCTATATTGTCAACAGTTAATACAAATAAACCTCTTCCAATACTTCCAGTATTGTGATATGTTTGTTGAATGAATGAACAGCATGCAGAAAGCCTGGTAGAGAATAGGCACTCAATGTTGAGTGCTAAAACGAGCAATCATTGCACTCCCACACATATACCCAAGAGAACTGTACAGAAATGTCTATAACAGCATTACTCATAGTAGATGGGAGGTGCAAACAACCTAAATGTCAAAATGTGGTATATCCATACGATGGGATATTATTCAGCCAGGAGACAATGAAGTACTGATACCCGGGAGGTGCAAACAACCTAAATGTCAAAATGTGGTAAATCCATACGATATTATTCAGCCAGGAGACAATGAAGTACTGATACCGATTACAACATGGCTTAGCCTGGAAAATGTTGTATTTAAAAGAATCCAGACACAAAAATCCACATGTCTTATGCCATTTATATGAAATTCCCAGGATACATAAATTCATAGAGACAAAGCAGGGCCTAAAGAAAGGGGTCATGGGGAATAATTGCTTAGTGAGTACAGATTTCTTTTTAGGGTGATGAAATGTTCTGGAATTATCCCTAGCTGGGTGGCTCTGTTGGTTGGAGCATCTTCCTGTACATTAGAAGATTGCAGGTTCAATTCCCAATCAGGGCACATACCTAGGTTGCAGGTTCGATCCCTGATCAGGGCGTGTACTGAAGGCAACCAATCGATGTTTCTCTTTCTCCCTCTCTCAAATCAATAAAACATATCCTTGAGAATTAAAAATAAAAATGTTCTGGAATTAGTGGTGATAGTTCTGTCACACAATAAAGTGGTTAAAATGGTAAATTTTATGTTATGTACATTTTACCTCTTTAAAAGAAGATAGACTGGCCCTAACCGGTTTGGCTCATTGGATAGAGCGTCAGCCTGCGGACTGAAGGTTCCCAGGTTTGATTCCGATCAAGGGCATGTCCCTTGGTTGCGGGAGCATCCCCAGTGGGGGGTGTGCAGGAGGCAGCTGATCGATGTTTCTCTCTCATCGATGTTTCTAACTCTATTCCTCTCCCTTCCTCTCTGTAAAAAATCAATAAAATATATTTTTTTAAAAAGACTGGATTAGCATATGAAGTATAGCTGAACTCTAAAACACACAGGACTAATACTTAAACTCATCTGCGGACAAATCAAAGAACCATGTAAAGCAACCCTGAGACATGAATCTACCAAATAGATTTATCGTTCAGTTATCAATTCACTACTGATAGGATTCTTGAAGGATTCCTTCAGATTGTGAGCACTTGTCTCTTTTGCATAAAAACTATTTGATTCCTAGGTAGACCCTTTGGGGGAAATACTTTTACAGGAAAGAAGACCTGCTGTGGGTAATTGCAAATGCTACTATTCAATGTAAAAAAGTTCATTTAGTGACCAGAAACCACCTCATCACTTCACCCTTAGACCACAGCTCAGGACAGCCTGCACTTCCAAGGAGTTGTTTTCCCATGGTTTTGGGGAGAGGGAGTCTCGGGGTTGAAAAGGCTACTGGTTGCTGTGATGTGAGCTCAGCATACTCTGGGGCAGACCTTGGGGCAGGTGCCTCCCCAGAAGCCCTGAGCTTGCAGGAGTGATGCCTCTTATTTCCAGCTGTGAATAGACCTCTAGTGGCAACTACTGAAATCGACCTGCTCTCTCCAGAGGCAAGAGAGTGCCCGCTCTGAATGAGCAGGAGTCCTTTCAGGGCACTACAGGTTGCAGCTGTTCCAACAGAACGGAGCATCCCCAGCAACATTGAACCTCCTACAGGTCTGGTTTGGTTAAATATGCTCATTAAAAATCTCTAAGCAAATTTTCTTTATGGATCATCTTCTATGTGGTCTGAACCATGGACACTCTGGGTGCCCTGTGCTGACAGCCATAAGCCTCCATTTCCACTGGACACTGGGAAGAAGCCCTAAAGGCAGGATCTCGTTTATGTGAAAGGAGTTTGGATGTGAGGCTCCCTTGACTCTTGCCAAAGGAAAGACTGCCTGTGAATGGTGATATTTGAATTGGAATTAAGTTCAAGCTTCAACGGGCATTATTTCTACCTTGCTATTGGAAAATGGTTCTCAAACTTGTGCCAAACAACTCAGTGTCATACCATTTCGTCCAAGGGGGCTGCTCCTACCGCTGATCACCTCTTATCCAGACAGATAATCACGTCCTGCTCTGGGATCACACTTCTATTTTGGCACTTCTTGTAGTGAGGTCATTTGTTCAGCAAGTATTTATTGACCTGCTTTGAGTTATGCACAGTTGTAGGTGCTAGGGATAAGGTAGTGAGTATAAAAGGCAAAGTGTTGGTGCTTACAGGGAAACAACAAGTAAATATATGTGATAAATAAATATAAAATATATATAAAGGAAAAGTTGGGTAAAGGACATAGGGAGTGCAGTAGGTAGATGGAGACGTCATTGGGTAGATGGAGACCTGAGAACTGACAGTGGGATTTTGCAATGTGGAGGTCATTCTTCCAGCAGAAGGGTGGGACTTGAAACCTGATTAGAGTGACTTCAGGAGATTAGGGAAGGGCTCTCTGATTAGATGGCATTTGAACAGATGGAGCAAACCATGCAGTGTTATTGGACTAAGGAAATAAATTATGAGTACATTTTCACAGGACCACTCTGGCTGCTGGGGGTAGAGCAGAATGAAAAGGAGCATGGAAGAGCAGATCAGTTAGGAGCCTATGGCTGGAATCCAGGTTAAGATAATGGCTCTGACTAGGTTGGATGGTCAGATACGGGACACAATTTGAAGGTTGAACTCACAGGACTGGCTGATGGGGTGTATGTGGGAGAAAGAGGAGCCAAGGATGATTCCAAGTTTGGATGCCTGGAAAAAATGCAGTTACCTCTTCCGAAATGGGCAAAAACGTGGAATGGGAATTTTAGACAAGGAAGCCAGGAGTTTGGAGGGACTGTCCTGCATGCTGCAGGAAGTTGAGGGTCCCTGGCCTCTTTCTATTAAAGGCCAGCAGCTCTCGCCAGTCATTAGGTCAACCCATAGCCACCCTCACACATTGTCAAATACCCCTTGTAGTGGCGGTGCTGCCCATGGTTGAGACCCACTGTAACCAATGAAGTGGGTGTCAGCATCTAGATGTGACTGCGTTTGGCTGATGCCAGAAGCAGCAGAAATCTAGCTTCAAGAGCAGAATGAGAACTGACAAATTCTGTAGAGATGGCGACCCCTTCCTCTTTGGGGAGTGAGGTTTAAGTCTAGGAGGTTACGGCATAGAGGTTGAACTGGGCTCCAATCTAGAGAGACAAAGCAGGGTCAAACCAGAAATAGTCACCTTATCAAGGATATCATGCTATACATATTAGAATGTTTTGAGACCTCTTCCTTTCCTATACCCTCCATCTTAGGAAATCCCACTTGCCACTCTTGTGAGAAACATCCCTCTAAGCATGATGGCCCCTACCCACACCTGATTAAAACCCAAGGTAAACACCTGAAATAACAAGACAATTCATTGGCTGATTGGTGACCTTTCAGATTTTTTCCTGTTGAGTAGTTGAATAATAGGCTAGCTAGTGACTGTAGTCAATTGTCGGTGGGTATTTGAGCTGAAAGCACCTATAGACTTGAGATGAAGGTTGCAACATGACAAAGGGAAAGCCACAGCACAGGAAAGTCCAGGTTTGGGGAGAGCAGAGAAACCAGGATCAAGGAGAGGAAGCCAGTTATGAAACGGGAGCACAGCTCAGCCCTGCAAGAAAGAAGGAGAGGTGCAAAAGCATGTGGTTCCAGGGAGATGGGGAGGGACATAGACAGAGAGAGACAATAGTTGACTACTTTTGGGTTCGAAGCCAGCTATGAAACGGGAGCACAGCTCAGCCCTGCAGAAAGAAGGAGAGGTGCAAGAGCATGTGGTTCCAGGGAGATGGGGAAGAACAGAGACAGAGAGAGACAATAGTTGACTACTTTTGGGTTCCATGAGACTGCCTGTTGACTTTCAATTGGTCTTTTTCTTATTTTGTGTAGTTTGAGTGGTTTCTGACCCATGCAACCAATGATATACATTGCCCTTACCTCTATGTTAGAGCTGTGACCAGAGGATGGTCTAAAGTCAGCCACTAAGGCCAGGAATCAAGAACCAGAGTCAGGGAAGAGAAGGAGGTCAGTCATTGTG